TAACTGCCTTCTCAAGCAGAAGTGCAGAAAGGGTTGACATGTGTTCTACCAGGATGGTGGAGTCCTACCAGTGGGGGCCACAGTTGGAGACTCAGACCATGGGACTCTGAAACGAAGCCATGGAGGGAGTTACCCACCTAAAGGGGGAGAGTGGGAAGGTGTTCATTCAAAACAGAAGGTGAAGGGTGGAGATAGTGGTTCTGTGTGACTGGTCACAGGGGGAGAGGTGGGTAGGAAGATGAGTGGTGGGTGAATAGGGCAGTGACCATGTTTAGGAGCCTGCAGATTCTTCTGCAGGTGAGAGAAGGCATTGCAGTGTTCTCAACGGATGAGTGACGTGGTCAGACGTGCACTTGAGGAAGCTCACACTGGCCCCCAACCTCCCCTGTACTGAGCAAGCCAGGTGGGTTCCCCCTCCATGTCTCACCCACTCCTCTCTTCTGCCTGTAACTCCTTTCCTGTCTGCATCCTGCTGAACACCGTGCCTGCTCTTTGAAAACCACTCTCCTTCAAGCACACTCAGGTGTCGCCACCTTAGAACAGCTTCACCTTGGGCCTGTCTTCACTCTGCCCGCACTCTCCTGCCGTTCTCTCCACTCTGAGCCCTGAGTTAGCTGCCTGTTCCCAAACTGCCCCCACCATGCTAAGGAAATGCCCCGTGGGAGGCCCGGGGCCCTCCTGGGCAAACGCTGGCTTCCTTCCTGTGCCACTCCAGCCTGTTGACTCACGGCAGGCTCCTTGGGGGAAGGAGGGGGCTGCCAGGAACAGGTGTATAGGGTGGGGGGTGACCAGGAAGGGACAGCTGAGCTGGTGACCTTGTAGCCGGGGTGCGAACAGGTAAAAGGCCTGTTTGCCAACCCTGCGGGTTTGGGTGCGGTAATAACAGATGGAGGCGGGGGGCCTTGATGCTGGTTTCTCCACACCAGCCCTGCCTGAGTGAACCCAGGCCAGGGGAACTGAGGACCAGAAGGAGCAGAGGAGGAGGAGGAAGGCCGAACTCTTCCATCTCCCATCTCCTTCCCTCCTCACCTGCTTCACACCTCCCACACAGCCCACTCAGCTTTGGCCGGCACTAGCTCTTATATTACCCCACCCAAACCCAAAGGGTCGGCAAAGGGGCCACGGACTTGTTTCCAGAACAGGGCAACATGAGGCTTTCCTCAGAGGTCCCGCTGACCCGGATGCTCTCTCCCCAACCTCTGCACCCCGGGACTTCAGAAACCTCCCCCACCCCAGTGGCGGGAGAGCTCCTCCGCGTTTACTGCCTGCAGTCGCATTTTGCCAAGGCTACTTAACTGTTTCTTTACTTAGCTGTTTTATCCATCTGCCCAGCCAGCAATTTATTCATTCAATCATTCGTTCATTCAGAAGTCGGGCCCTGTGCCTGGTGCTTCAAATGTAGGAACGAGCGATAGGCACACAGGGGTCTGCAGACTTGGGAGCTTCCGAGACTGAACTCTCAGGCAGGGTCTGTATGTCACTCCTCCCTGCCACCCCACCCCACCCACCTAACCCCCACAGTTCACTTTAAGCAAGTGGAAGGAACTGGAATGTCAGGTAGGGATGGGGACAGGACTTGGTGCCCAGAGTGAGGCAGGATGGGGGCGCAGAGTGGCCTGGGCCAGGGGCAGGGCCACTTGCAGAGCCAGTGGGTGGCTGGGTGAGGGGCGGAGAGCACTTGGCAGCCTCTCGGGCCTCAGTTTAATTCCCTGGGCAAACAGCCACGCTGGGAGGGCTGTGGGCAATAGCTGAGGCTTCAAAGGGCCCTGGGGGCCATGGGTGGGGCAGGCAGTATGCACGAAGCCTGCCCTCTCCAGTTCCTGGAACTTGCTGCTTTCTTCAAGGGGAAAGAGGGTAGGGGCTCCTGTCCTCTACGGTGTCAGGCAGGGTGAGGGACTGTGCTGGAGCTGGGGGCAGGACAGAGAGACCTGCGGCCTTGTCACCCCCTCCCCCCTGGTTAATGTGCACCCTGCCTCCCCAGGCTGGTTGGCTTCTTGGGGACAGTGCCCTCCAGCTGGTCCCTGCCCTATCCTGACGCACACAGGAGAAGCTCAGGCCCCAGTATGCCCATTCAGGTGGCTCTGACCTGTCCCACCTGGGAGCCACAGAGTGGGACAGACACATGTGCCCCAGGAGAGCGGTGACCCCCTAGGGCTTCCATGTGCCTCCTCGGCTCCCACTGGTCAGCGTAGCCCCAGCATGGGTGGCCTCACAAAGCCCTCTCCCCTGCCCCAGGGTGCTTCCCCTCCCTTGTCACCTGTGTTTTCCTCTTCATCACACAAGAATGTGTCAGCAGGACCTGGGGCCACTCTCCCACCCCATTGTTAGTGCAGGTCCTCCCCACACCCGCACCCCTGACAGGCCCAGGCCTGCCCCATGGGGCCAGCCTACTCCCCCCTGCTGGGAGTCCAGATACACCTGTTTACCTTTGGGCCTCAGCCCAAGATGGAAGTGCGCCTGACTCCTGACCGCCTCTCCCCACGCCTACCCCCACACTGTTCTTTCCCACCTCTTCCTTCTGAAGGTCTGTGTCCCCATTGTGCATGGAGGTGTGGAGAGCGAGTCCTGCCCTCAGCTCAGCTCTGCAGGTGCCTGGCTTTTTGCACCAGGCAGTATGGAGTGTGGGACTGAGGGGAACCCCATGGGGAGTCCCTGGAGCTGGCAGGTGACCTGTCCTGTGGAGCAGGATGTGCTCTGGGCCCAGAGGGGGAGGGCCCCCAAGGGTCAAGCTCCTGCCCTCTCTCCCCATCACATTCCCGGCTGAGGGATCCGTGAGGGAGGGAGGATGGGGCAAAGGTGGCAAGTTAGGGGACAGGAAGGTGGCTCCTTGCTTTGGGAAGGGATGTCCCCAACACCCAAGAATGAAGTAGTTCAGGGGGTTCTCACCTCAAAGGTTGTGACTGAAGGAGATGAGGACCCTGATCAGACAGCTTGCGTCACAGGCTCAAAGTCACACCACTCAGAGACAGGACCACTAGGTGCGACATGCGATCCTGTATCGGGAGGCTGGACCTGCGATGAGCGTCAGTGGGGTGATCTGCACAATCTGAACGGGGTCGGTGGTTAGTTGGGATTACCGGGTCAATGTTAGTTTCCTGACTATGAGGGTGGCTCTAGGGTTATGTAGGAGTGTCCTTGTTCTAAGGAAATACACGCTGAAGTAGTTCGTGCTAATGGGACATCATGCCTGCAACTTACTGTCAAATACCGCAAAACATACTATTTTGATTGGGAACACATCGAATCTATAAATAGATATGAGGTAAATGAACATCTTTAAAACAGCCACCCAGCCAAGGTCCAGGGCAGGGATGGGTAGGACGGATGGGCTCTGAAACTCACACTTTCCATCTCCCAGAGCCTGCCCGCTGAAAGGACAGGTGGAACCTTGTGTTCCAGCCCCCTTTCCGAACCACCTCTTTGTTTTGGTAGCATCTGGGGACCCTAAGAATGCTGATGCCTGGGCCCCAATCTCAGAGAGTCTGCTCCCCGCCCGGCACGGGGATTTTTAAGAGCTCCCTGTGATTCTGCCCTGCAGCCACGGGTGAGCCAGAACCTCTGCGTGTCTTCTTCAGCCTTTCCTCACATAGTTGGGCGGTCCTGCCTGCCCCTGACAATGCCCTTCATCCCCCAGCTGGGCCTAGGCAGAGGTGAGGATGGAAGGGGGACAGGGGCATGTCCCACCTGTCAATCCAAGGTGTACCTGCTTTGGCCGGGCCAGTGGAGAAGGGGCCCGGATGTCTCTTGTTTCCCAATGCTGGGGGCCCTGAAGAGGAAGGCTGGTGGGTGGTGGGGCACCCCGAATTCTGGGGGCCCTGGAGAGGAAGGCTGGTGGGGGTGGGAGGAGGGAGGGAGGATTTGCTTGGGGGTGAAGAAAGTCCCAGAGCAGAGGCAGCCCCCTCAGCTGTGGGAGGGGGTTGGGCCGGCTTCTGGGCTCAGGGAGGCCCCAACACCATTGGCCCTGCAGTGTGTTTGCCCTTCTGAGATATTTGGAATAATTAGCAAGTGAAAGCAGCAAGTTAGCACGGGGAATGCCAGGCTGGCCTAGAGCCAAGCTTGAGTGAAGGGAAAGAAAAGGGCTTCAGGGGAGAAAGGGGTCCATGGAGTCTGGGCAGGATTGTGCAGGACAGTGCCCATTTGTGCCAGCGTGTGTGCGTGTGTGTGCGTGTGTGTGTGTGTGTGTGTGTGTGTGTGTGCGCGCGCGCTGGGGGAGGTGTGCACCGTGAGTGTGTGCTTGAGGTGCTTTCCAGGCAAAGCTGGGGTGAGGGGATTGAAAGGTTCCACTGTGTGTCACCCTAACACACATTTCCCGTGCCTTGGTTTCCCTATCAGAACCCTGATAGGCTGGTTCCTCACAGAACGGACCTGGCAGTGTGTGTGGGTGGGAATTAGGGTCTGGGCATGTGCACAGACTTCCCTGGTGGCTTTCCTCCTGAAGCCTGACTTGGGCCTGGGAGGGAAGGCGCAGGGCTGGGAGAACACACGCCAGGGTGGGAAGTGGGGCGCCTGGGCCCTCTAACCTCACACCTTGTCCCTCCAGGAGAGGACCGAGGGAGGGAGGTGCTGGACGTAGGCCCAGGCCGGACCGCAGACTCAGGCAGACAAGCCTGGACAGGCCCTCACAGTGGGGGACGGGGAGCAAGCCCCGGGCATGCTTGGCTTTTGTGAGTCCCCACGGCCAGGGAGGGGGCTCTGCCTTTGTCTCACACTCCTTGGGTGCTGTGGGTACCGTTCTCCCCACAGTGCAGATGGAGGCACTGAGGCCCAGGCTGCAGGAGATCCCCTGAGGGCTGTCTCTTTGCCCTTTTCTCCCTGAGGACACAGAGGTTGTAGGTAGTTCATTAGGGGGCACTCTTCAGGCCTTTAGTGACCCCGCAACTGCAATTTCCTCCCAGTCGTCCCCGTCCCCCTGATCATCATCGCAGAGAAGGCCTTCCCCCCTCCAGAACTGGCCCTCACTTTTTCCCAGAGAAAATTGCAAGCAGGTCCATTTTCAGGTTTTAAAAAAATTTTATTTTCAAAAAAAAATTTTATTGTAAATAACTTTCCATGAAAAAGGTTAGACTGCTCCATGAGGCAGGAGGGTGGATGTGGGATGCAGCCCCGGGGGGGGGGGCCTCAGGTGGAGCAAGATACTCCTCCCCCAACAAGTGCAGGCAGGGGGACAGGGCGATCCCCCCTTCCTGGTCCCAGTGGTTCTAGCAATCTCAGTCGGCATCCCTGTTAAGCCTTAGCTATAGCTACACTCACTACGTTAGTCTGTCTGTCCCCTCCCCTCTGCAGCGTGGCGCCCCTGCCCCCCAGAATCCCAACTCCCAGCTGTTCTCAGCCTCCAGTCGGGTTCAAAAACTAGGGATTTCTACCCTCTGTCCACCTTTAGGGATGGGGCCAGGAGAAGACCCCAGAGGCCTTAGAAAATGTCCTTGTCCCATGCGGCACCGCGACCACATTTCTGTCTCTTCTCTCTGCCCCCTCCCCCCAGCTCTGCCCCCTCTGCTGCCCGCCCCAGCCCCAGGGAGGCTTTGCTGGGAGAGGCCTCCAGGGGCTTAATTTGCTGTCACCTAATTAGCATTTGTTGTACCTGGGAACTTTCTCTGGATAGAGACCTGGGGGGGAAAGCGGGAGAGGAGGAGGCATTGAAGCGGAGGTGCTCAGGGGCGGGGGCGGGAGCGGGGGCGGGCCCAGCCCTGTTGCCTCCCAGCCTGGCCAGGGTCCGTCCAGGCCGCAGCTCTCACAGTGCAGGGACTCTTTAGCTGGTCCCCGGGCAGGGCAGGTGAGGGTCAATGAAACACTGTGTGTATGGGGGCGAGGGAGAGGAGGCAGCAATTCTGGTCCTGGACCTCAGTTCTTAGCCTCCTGGGCTGTAATCTGAGGGCAGCCTGGGCTAGGGGCCCTGTGGCCTCGTGGGCCCAGCTCCTGCCTGGGCGGTAGGGTTCCATGGGCCTGTGTTGGGGGGCAGTCTGGGCTCTGACTTGGGTGCTGTCCGGAGGTGGGGCGGGGCCTAGCCTCTTACAAGAAGGCGCCAACACTGGCCCAGTCTTGCAGGTCAGCGGCCAGGGTGGCATCCCCGGCCTCAAAGAGGGGCTCCGGAGGCAGGCAGCCACTGCCACTCTCGTCCCAGGGGTGCTGCAGGAATGACGTGGCCAAGAAGGTCTCATCAAAGTCCAGGCTGTCGGCAGCCTGCTCCACTGAAGGCCCCCAGGTAGAGGAGCAGTCGATGTGGCGGCCGTGGACAGTGAGGTCCACGTCCCCATGCGAAGTGGGGCTCAGCGGCGGGCTCAGCTCCAGGGCCTCCAGCGTGCCCAGCTCCCCTCCCAGAGAGCCGGCGTCGAAGACGGCCTCCCAGTCAAAGTTGCCTTTGAGGGGTTCCAGCTCGCCCTGCTCCTCCTGGGTCAGCAGCAGGGAACTGGGGGGCCTTGGGACCTTGGCCACCCGCTTGGGCAGTGGCTGTTTGCGCTTATGCCCAAGCCTGGCCTCGCCTGCACCCCAGCCCGCCTCCCCAGTGGCCTCCTCAAACTCCCGCAGCAGCTGCTGGGCCTCGGTGTTCACGGTCAGCGGCCCGGCCCACGGGGCGGTGCTGGGCTCCTGCGCGGTCTGGCGGGCAAAGGCCGGGTGGATGTGGACCGGGGCCAGCCGCCGCTTCTTAAAGGCCCCGCTAAGCAGGCGCTCTGCATACTGGGGGTCGATACGCCAGAAGCCCCCTTTGCCGGGTTCGTCCTTCTCCCGAGGTACTTTGATGAAGCACTTGTTCAGGGACAGGTTGTGGCGGATGGAATTCTGGGCGCAGGGAGAGAGGAGAGACAGAAGACGGCTGGGTGAGTGAGAAGGAAGGGTCAGTGATGGGTGGCTGCTAAGGCTCCTGCATGTCCTTCTACCATCTTCTCTCTGACAGGGGCGGGGCGACACAGGCACTGCTCTGACCAGGAGGCTCTGGGACACCAGCCACAGGGCACCCGGAGCCAGGAGTGCTGTCGGGCGCTTTTGTTCCCTGTTGCCGGGATATCTGCCTGCTCAATCATCCGAGCCCTGAGCTGCAGGGTGGCTCTCAGTGCCACCCCATCCTGCCCTCCCTCCCTTACCCCACCGCTTGCGGCCTCTGGCCAAAGGCGTCAGCTCCCCCAGGGCCTGGACAGCCATCTCCCTCTGCTGGGGCCTGGCTGGCCCTCTCTGTGGAGTGGGTCGGGGTGGGGGGCACTGGGCGACCGAGGGTGTGTGCGTGTGTGTGCACATGCACACCTGCACAGGCACATGCAAGTGTGTGTAGGGATGAAGTGTGGTGGAATCTGATGACGCCCCTTGTTTGTTGAGTGTGCTGCTGGCCTGGGCCCTGAACCTCCAAGGCCCCCTCCTCCCACTCCAGGCTGTGAGGCTTCAGTTGATTGTTACACAGCAAAGAGCCTAAGTGCTCATTCCTGGGGCCCATTTCCTGCAGCTTGAGCTTCCAAGGCTAGGGGTTGGGTAGGGGTCTCCGCTTTCTCACCGAGGCTACATATAGCAATACCCCAGAGTCGGGGCCCGAGCAAGTGTGGAAGAGCTTGAGACTGTGATCATGCAGCCTGCTGCCTGTGGGTGCCCCAAGGAAGAGTCCGGGCATCCATCCTCAAGGCCTCTGTCCCCAACTAGCCCCTGATCCCGATGGTTGAAGACTCTCAGGGCAATGTCTGCCCCGCCTCAAATCACCATCCTGCTTTGTTCATTCCTAGGTTCATAGTCTTATCCAAACCATGCTGGGGAAAGGGGCCTGGGGCCTAGGGCCTGGGCAGCAGGGCAGAGGAGTGGGCAGTGACCCTGGCAAGGCTGGGATGTTTACATGGCGGCCTGGCGCCTAGGGCCTGGGCAGCAGGGCAGAGGAGTGGGCAGTGACCCTGGCAAGGCTGGGATGTTTACATGGCGGCCTGGCCCCTTGGCTGCTCTGTGCCAGGTTCCGGAGACTCGGAATATGAAGCCAGTGCGGGAGGCAGAGCCCCAGTGGAAAGCACCTGGCTCAGGTAATTGTTCCCCCAGGGAGGCTGACTGAGAAGAGGGGGAGGAGTGGGGGCAGGAAACTGGGGAGGGGTGGGAGTGGGGGGCTGGGACAGCTGCTTTAGTAAGGCGCCTACCCCCTCCACTGGGACACAGCGGGCCTTCACACCTCAGCACTCCCCAGCAAGCCCACTGCAACTCGGCAGGATGCGGAGCTTGGCAGGGGGCTATGCTCCAGCTTCCGCTTCTGAGTCCCGTCCTGACAAACTGTCTTTGGGCAAGGCAGTGTCTAGGAATTCTGGGACTTGGGACAAAAACGTGTCCCTCAGTCCATCATCCTCACTTAGGGGACTGTGTCCACCCACAGTCTGGTCTTTGGGCTGAACCTCCTGGATGAGTGACAAGTGCTTGCCCCTTGAACCTCAGCGTTTGCACCCCTAAAGCCCTCTGAACATCCTCCTCCTCCTCTGGAGTCAAATGAGGGACAGTTCCAAGCACTGGGCTCCGACGGCCTTCCTCCCTTGGGGCCCTGGCTGCCCTGCACCTACTTGGCCTGCGGATCTGGGATGAGTCCAGTCCCGGCAGGAGTGGAGAGGGAGGAAGAGAGTGGGGAGGGAATGGCCGCAACCCGCACCTCCCCTACCTGCCAGGTTGGATCGGCATGGCGGAAGTAGCAGAAGTTGTCCGTGATCCATTTATAGATGGCGGACAGGGTGATCTTGGTGGCCTTGCTGGCCTGCATGGCCATGCAGATGAGCGTAGCGTACGAGTAGGGCGGCTTCACGTGAGGGTTGGTGGCGTAGTCCACGTCGTCTGGGGGCGGGGCCTGCAGTCCCGGGGGCGAGCTCCGAGACGTGCACGACGACGTGGGCTTGCCTGGCGTGTGTGGCTGCCCCAGGCAGGCGGGATCCGCCGCCAGAGGGGACCCTGGCGCGGCTGAGCCTGGAACCTGGTGGTAGCCGTGGGGGTCGGTGCCCCCCGGGGGCAGGGTGGGGGCCTTGGCGTTGAGAATGGAGAATTCCTGCAGCCACTGCAGGCTGGTCAGGCTGTCATCCAGGGCGTCGGGCTCCTCCAGGCCGCCCTCCGGCCCGGCCTCCTCTGCCGTCCCGGCTCCAGAGAGGCGTAGCCAGCTCTCCGCCATGTCTGCGGGGACTCTCCGAGGGGGCGGTCAACATCCAAGGGCTGAGCCGAGGGTGGCCGCCACGCTCTCCGGCCCTCTGACTCCTGCGGCTCCAGTTACACAGCCTCCCGGACGCGCGGTTCCGTCCCACGACCCGGAGGTCGCCTCCTCCGAATACGAATGTGGGGCCTGCGGGGACCACGGCTGGAGCTGAGCATCCCCGCCCCCCCAGGGGTGTGTGTGAGGGGGAAAGCTCCTCTAAAATCATCCCCGCCGCTGGGAGAATCTTGTAGTGCCAGGTCTGGGAAACAGAAGCGGTCCCCTGGGATCCCACCACAGGGTCCACCTCGCTGGCAATGTTCCTTTTCGAGGTTGGAGAGGAGACTTTATTAGGCAAATTAGGGAAGAGGACAGTGGCATCCAAGGCTATCCCCTTCTCCCCAAGGGCGGGCAATCAGACACCCCTACCCTGCAGCAGATGGAAATGGGGCAAGGGAGCGCAGGAGGGCAGTACGACGGGGCCGGGGTCAGGGGAGGTCGTCTGAGCTTTGAAAAGGAATATTAGGATGGAAGATCACGGGGAAGGAAGGGTAGGGGACAAAGAGTTATGGGGGGCGGGAAGTGAGTTACCCCCAAACTCCTCAGATGTCAGTCCCCGGGCCCACCACTTCCGTCGGGGACCGATAGGAGAGACGGCTGGTACCAACGCCCCTCCCTTCCCGCGGCCCACAGCCCTTCCCTGTCCCTTACCTGGCTCAGAGCGCAGCCCAGGCCAAAGGAAGGTTCTGGAAGAAGTTCCTCCCACCCCTGTGGTTCTCTGCCCCCAGCTCCGGGGCCCCGCTAGCGCCCCTAGTCACCCCCCAGCCCGACGGCGCCTCTCTGAGCGCCAGCGGCTCCGGGACCGGCATTAAGTAGCGGCTCCAAAGGCTTCTCCTGCTGCCATGGCGACACTCCGCCCCTATAAACAGCTTTCGCTGCTGTCATTGGTCAGCAGTCTCCAAGGAGACCGCGGGCTCTTGCCACTCTATCCGGCGGTAACTCTCTTCGAACTCCCTCCTTCTGCTGCCCGCTCCCGCGCCACCCAGCCCCCTACCCGCCACCGCGGCTTGGGCTCCGCGCGTTCCCGCCCGAGGGCCGCGCGCAGGGCTCGGAGAAGCGCGCGGCTCGGCGCTCCCGCAGAGGCCCGCGCACCCCGGCGAGCGGTTCGCCCCGGGAACCGTGCTCCCGCCCCACCCTTCCCTGTCCCGGCTGCTCCAAGGCGTCGACGGCTCCAGGGACGCAGTCCCGGGCGCGGGAGCCAAGGCTGGGAGCGGGCTCAGATCTGGGAACTGTGTGCTGGGGGTTTCATTTCCTCTCCTCTGGGCTGCGAGTGGCACCCCCTCACGTTTCTGCGGCCTGTCCCCCTCTCGCGACCCCAGAGTGTTGGCTCTGGTGCCCGCGGGCAAGTCTGATTCTCCGGTGCCACCTGCTGCTCAGGTCCGCAGAAATGGCAGTAGACACACCAAGACGGGCAGGGTAATCCCGTTTCCCGGTAAGCGGCTTCCTCCCCACCCCTGACATCCCAGAGACTTCTGCGGAGGTGTTCGCCCTCCTTTCCAGATAGCTGAGGAATCAGAGCCGGTGGGTCGGCCATGGACTCCCCAAAGTCTCCTCGCGGGGTCATTTGCCCCATTAATTTCACCAACCTTTAAGTGACAGCGACTAAAGGTGGAGTCATTCCGGGGCTGTGGCCCCTCCTCCTCCCTTTCCCTGGCCTCCCTCCTGTCACCAGCTTTTCTGCTTTTCAATTATTGAGGAGCTGCAGTGTTGGAAGTTCTCGGGTTTACCGGAGAGGGTGGGGGTGACAGCTCCTTACTCAGGCTTCTGTCCAGGTGCTGGAGGGCTGGGGTGGGAAGCCGTGCCCAGGGGATGGCATGTCACCTCCTACCCAGGGGCATGTCCTTCCTTACCCCTTCCAGATTGTCTTGAGTAAAAATATTAGAGTGCTGGAGAAAGTCGGATAGAAACTTTTCACAAATAGGCCAATTGTGCAGTTAACAGCTCTCCTTCCCTTGTCAAGTTTTATTTATTTTTAAGAATCATGCAGCAATCCATAAATATTGCATCCTTGATGTCCCCACTGTAATGTGCGCATGAGTGTAACTCCAGGGGGTGAGAGGGGTACACAGATGGCACAACAGCACACACACACACACACACGCACACACACACACTTGCACACACCAGGTGTGCAGATCCTAAAGCAAAGTGACCAACAAACGTGCCAAGATCAGGTGCACAGGATACTAACTCTCCCCCAGGTGAGACAGCTTAAAGTGTGTAGGTCTGTGCCCAGGGAATGCCCCAGCATGGGCATGAGCTCTGGCAGGATGGGACCGGGTAGGGGAAGAATGAAAGGCTCAGTGAGGAGGCCAGGGTCACCACGCCACCCGGAGGCCATGGAGGAGCTCACACCTGAGGGTAGCAGGAAGGAGTCGCAGGCCTCAGGTTCGTCTGTGCCCTGTGCTAGAAGCCAGGCCCCATCCCATTCTCTCTGGGTCAACTTATAACGCGACCGTCTGCAGATGATGGATGGGGCAGTAGTGCTGGCAGCTGCCCTGCTCCCTGATCAGGCTGACTGTGGACCAGCCCCCTTGGATGGGATATTTCTGCTTGCCAAAACTCTACATGAGAACAAGGTGGGGGGTGGGGTGGGGGAAGGACAGGAAGTGTCTGAGAAACTAGGAGTGAAGGGCCATTCCAATGCAGATACATCAAGGCCTAGAAGGATCTTTCTGAGCTTCTTCCTGGGAGAAGACAAAGCCCCTCCAGAACAGGTGAAGATAATGGCTTCCTCTTCGGGTTCCTGGCCACTGTGGCTACTGTTTACCTGCATCTCCTTCATCTCAGGTAACACCACACTGTGAAACCTACCTGCTGGGAGAGGAGGTGGGTCTGTGTGCCACCACCCTGGGCTAAGGGAAGCTCCCATCCCTGGTGCTTCTGGAGCCCAAGCTTCAAGGTAATCAGGGAGTGGGGTTATTGCTCAGATCTTAAGTAGTAAAGGGGCTGTAGGCATGGTGGGAGAGACGGGCACGAAGTGGGGCCTGAGCCAGCAGGGTCCACTGCAGGATTTCAGAGAGGGTGGGTGTGGGAACTCAAGACAGAAGCTTAGATTCCTGCGTGGCTCATGTTACATCCTGCAGAACAACAGTCCTCCCACCCCACCCCATACCAGGGCAGGACTTGAGCCACAACCTGTGAGGGTCACCACCTACCTGGCAGTGCACAGAAGCCACACAGAACGTGTAATGGATCCCCTGGGCACTGGGCTCTCTTTGAGGTCTTGGAAATGGCCCCGAGAAGCTCTTCTAGGGTGACAATTCCGAATGGTAAGACAGCCAGCCCATCAGGACAGACGCAGCCACATCTCAGCCTCACAATTTGTTGTATCTAGCTTTGCTTCCCAATGTCGTGCTCCACTAAACAACCACCTTTCCCAAAAGCCAGTAGACAAAGCATGAGCTATATGGAAATCATCCACAACACAACTGCAGAGAGACAAGTAACATCCAGCAGCCTGCAGTCTAGCCTCGCTGTTTCAGGCTTTTGTTTATGTGCCTGACACTGGGGTAGGGTGGGCACAGAGATTTGAAAACAATCTCTCTAGATCTCTGTGGAAGGCAGTACCTCCCCTTCCCGTATTCAGCTCAGGAGAACTGGAAGGCAGGGGAGGAAAACATGGGGCTCCCGCCATCAGGCTCCCACCACTGCTGGCCCCGGCTCAGCACTCTCCACCACTTCCGTTGGGGCTCCTGGCCCACCCTTCTCTCAGCCCATTTCTTCAACTATTAATGAACAGGGATGGAGACGGGGACCACAGGGGTATGGATGCCACCTGACAGGGCCGTAGTGATGAAATGTGATAATATACGACAACTAACACAGTGCCTGGCACACAGAGGTGGTCAGAAAGTGTGTTTTTTCAAATGTCACCGTAGGATAGAGTCCCAGGCCTTCACGAATGCACCTGCTCCTAAGAAAACCTCCTGTGGGTAATTGTTTAATGGGGGGAATTCTCAGGTTCAAGGCCGCCTTCCTAAGCACACAGACACACAAGGCACAGGAGACGTGCTTGGCTGCCAGAAGGAAGAACTGTCTTTGCAACCAACCTTTTGTTTGTCACCATGTCCCTTGTCCTTCAGCAAGGAGCTCCTAATGCTTTTTGAGGGAACCTCTGCTTACAGTGCAATATGGCTTTCCCTTCTCACAGGAGTCATCCCCCCAAACTCCGCCCGCAACTGGAGGTTTCAAATTGGTTAAGATGTCCCAAAACCCAGAAAATGTCAGATGGGTGTCTGTGATGAAGCCACTAAAACTCCAAGTCATCTTGGTCTAACCCCTAAGAAGGAAAAAGATGCACAATCAGCCTGTGGACTTGGGCTTCACCCAGATATGGTGGGAAAACTCCAGAGCATCTCTGCAAAGGGTCTCATGAGCCGCAGTTCATCAAGTGGTTTCAGCCCACAAGGAGGAAAGAGGTTTCCAGTTCCTTCTGAGAGGGGCGGGGTCATGGTTCTGGAAGGAGAGGAGGCTGGGAGGAGCAGGCTAACCTCAGTGTCTGGCTGGCACATGGGGATACCAGTCTCCATGCGTCCTGCTGAGGGTGCCCAGGAGGCCAGGGGTCCAGTGAGGCCAGGCTGGACCGCGGGGACAGGAAGGCAGCCCTGCGACGGGGGCGGGGGCTCTCAGACAGCCAAAGGGCCCCATACGCAGGGCCTGTTCTCTGCGTCCTCCAGGCTGCTGGATGATAAGCGCCGGTGCTGTGTGTTGCGACGGCTGACCACGTTGTCATCTGCTTGCCAGGTCCCTGGAGGGCAGAAAGGAAGGTTACAGGAGCCAGATGTTTGGCTGGGTTCAGATGGTGTCTCCAGCAAGGCAGCCCCGGAGCTCGGCACGGACCTAGCAGGGTGCGTGTTACCTGAGGCTTGTGGGCCCGTGCCGGCCACATCGTGTGAGAGCACTGGCAAAGGTGGGCGCCACCAGGTGCCGGGGGCTGCTGCCGCCCCACCGGGCTAGTACAGTCACGGCCACCGACAAGAGGGACACGCGGGATGTTCCTTGTTTTGTGAACTTGCCCTAGGATCCACTTATTTCATTTGTTTTGAAGTTGGCCCATATGTTATGGTGGACAAGGAAAAAGAAAGCGGGTCTAGGTGAGATTTTCCTCAGGGCAGCAAGAAGTGGACGGGAGTGGGGAGAGTGTGTTCATTTGGGCCCAGAGTGTAAGCATTCTTCGTTCGCTGGGGGTGGGGGGCAGGAAGTGACTGGCTGCTCAGCAGGGTGCCAGGGGCCCAATGGCACTGGGGGAGGACAGTGAGACGCTCCAGCCCCTCCCCCACACCTGCTGCTCGGCATCTCTTTCTGACCTGAGCAGCCGCTGCGGTTTGCTATCAGCTGGTGCCATGAACCCCAGGAGAAACTAGTCCGACAGCCTTGGGGTCCCACAGGTATCACCCACTAAACTCCTCCTCATCCCCCCAAACCTGCTTCCTTGCACGCGGAGCACCGGCTGCTGTGCTGGAAAATCCTTTCTTCTCCCTCCTTCGTGCTCTGTATCCAATCCATCACTGCCCCATTTGTGCACTTCCTAGTTATGTCTAAATCAGCTGTCAGAACCCGTGGGCTCCACTCCCAGCTCCTGACGTGCTGACTGTGTTAGCCTGGACAGGCCGCTTCACTTACTTCACGGGACTGCAGTGAGGACTAACAGGTGACATGGGACAGTGCTGAGCAGGGCACTGACTAGCAGGATGTGCTCAACAACCAGCGCCCCCAGGCTTTGCTCAGCTACCCTCATCTCTTCCCTCTGTCTCCCCTTAATCGTCCTCCCAGCCCACAGCCTGGCTCCATCCAGTGCAGCCAGAAGCTCCTCGTGAGAGGAAAGGCATGGCCTCAGCTGCCCACATGCTCGGGATGAAGACGCACCTGCAGGGGTTAGGGAAGGCCTTCCTCCTCTGGCCCACGACCTCCCAAGCTGTATCCCCACACCCTGCTCTCACAGGCCCCCACCCGATGAGTACGCTCTGCTTAGCTCCAAGGCTCCCCGCCTCTGCACTGCTGTCCTACTTCTCACATAGGTGGAGAGTGCTGACTTCGTGAACTCCTTCCTGAGACTGTCAGCTCCCCGACCAACTCTGGAGGGTGGGCCTGAGGCTTCCTGCGTTCATGTTTGCAGGACAGTCGCAGATGTGTGGGGTGGGCCTTAGGTTCAGCCAGCCCAGGACACGAAACCCTCTCAGAGCAGAAACACTAGGATTAAGTGGGTGTAACCTGCTTATTTCCCAGAAATGTCCTGCTGTGCTAATCCATCCTAAGGCTCTAATAATAGTCCAGGAGGTGGCCCCCAGGGGAAGAGAAGTGAGTAGAGCAGGAAATTCTTAGGTATCTCTCACACCTACAGGGAATTTGGGGATGTTTAGTCCCTGGGATACTGGAGTCTGGGATGCGGGTCCCCAAGCAGTGCTCTTTACCGCTGAGGGTGGCACTCTAAGTGGGACAGGATGAGGAGAAGGCAACGTTGCCCTTTAAGTTACGAACCCCCAAATAAAATGAGTTGTTTGTTCATTTACATAATTGGGTAGATCTCATACCTATTCCTCAATGTTTATGGGGCAGGACTCCGGAACTGCGGCTGTTCGGTAGGAAAGACCAAAAGCAAATGGTAAACAGGAGAGAAGACACACACGCATGCACAAAATAAAAACACCGTCGCCACCAGCAGCTCGCCAGGAGACTGGGGATGACAAGCTGTCTGCTGAATTCACGGGAGTTCTTGGTGCCAACGCCACCATTCTAGAATACTCAGCCAGGGCCGACAACCAGTTCCTTCCAGAACAGCGTCAAGACTCAGATCTGAAGTCTGGCCTCCCTGGCCTCTTGATATGTTCTCGGTGGTGTCCTCTCCCCTACAAAGGACCCTGACGGGCCCTCAGAAAAACTCTGCCGCTGCGCCCCTCGACCAGAGGGTGAGCCTGGCTGGATGAAGAAAACCCAGAAAGCTGGAGGACTTCCTGAGCGAGCGTTATCATTTTTTCCAGCCCTTTGGCCAGAAAATGAGTTTGGAGGTTTAAAATCCTTTAGGGGAGACAAAGGGGCTTTCCATTCAACTGCCATTTGGGGGAATCAGAAATGGGAGATTAAGAGACCTCTAGAGGCCGATTTTGGGAGCACATTTAGGGCAATTGCACACACCTCTTTCCTGCCTCTGCCAAGCTACTAAGTAAATTTAAGGCTATAATGGTTCAATTGCCTTGTAGAGTTTCTCTCCAGGGAAAAGAGAAAGTTAATTCGAAGTTTTCCTTAGTGTCTATGAGGCGTAAACTTTCCTAGTAGCATCTTAGTCTTGAGTGAGTCACTCCTCTTGAGAGCAGTGAATTGAATTTCAGGTCTCCTTAAGTATTTTTAGATTTTGTTGGATATGCCCACTCCTGCACAATGCAGTCATTTCAAAATATATTTGCATTTCCCCTAACAAACCCAAATCATCTTTGCTTTTTGCCATCACATACACTCCCCAGAGCCTTTTTACGGAATTATCACTGGTCCCCTGACCACTATCCTGCCACCTGTATGATATTCCATCAAATTCCTTAGAACCATGTCTACTTAGCATGGCTTTGACATTCTAACCTGCTCACCACCTACACCTGTCACCTTAGATGTCCTCCCTTTGAGAACTTTCCAGAACATAGCCCCTGCCCCCTTGGTCTTGGGGCCCAAGAAGGCTCAGAAGCTTCTTAGGAGAACGACACAGGTACCCTCTCAGTGTCACTCTGATGAGTGTGAAGATGGGGACCTGAGTGGCCCTCGCCACCGGCGGGGTCTCCTGACAGAGCACACGTGAGCATGGGGAGGGTGGTGTGCGGATGGAGAAGAAGGGGTGCTCCCCAGTCCCGCTTCTCACTGGCCCTCCATGCAGGGAGCGGGAAACTTCCTTGTATCATAGGAGCCTGAGGGGCCGAGCCAGCTGGCGGGGATCTCAGTCATACGACGGGAAGTTTCACCTTATGGCTGAGCGAGAGGAGGCCTATTCATTCCATGGGACCTACCAAAATGGATACGCCTGTCACTCACCCAGCAGATGCTTCCCAGCACTTTGCTACCAGTATAATGCCACCAGCAGAAGCAGAGAAGCGTTTTACGGCGAGAGCAGACGTGTTTTCCCTCTTCCGTATGTCAGAGCCCTTTAGGGCTCTGGTAAGGGTATGATGGGACAGCTCAAGTGCTTACACCCGAGACCCTCTCCCGACAGCCATCACAGGCTGGTTTCAACGGTGAACCCACTTTAATCTCAGGTCGGCTAGCTGCCGAGATCACCACAAGGAGCCCCACAGGTCCTTCCTTGCTTCCAGGTCTCGCTCCCCCCTCCCTGAAATCCCATCAGTGGAATAAATATCAACAAGCAGGCTGGCCAGAGGGAGTTAGGACGAGGAGGAAGCAGAAGGAATAAGCTCAAATTTCCACCAGCATGGTCGGCTAAAACAATTTCCAGCAGCTCCTTCTGCCAAAAACTGGGGGTGGGTGGAGAAGCCTCCCGAGGGAGGCAGGAGCCTAGATTCTCTCCTGAAGCCCAGCGAGCGGATGGCCGATGCGGCTGCCACAGACACAGGACAGCGTGAAGGCAGAGCTGTCGTCCTCCCCAACGAGTGACCAAGGAGGCCCAAAGCAATCCTTCCCGAAAGCCCGGCCCAGGAGCACCCCCGTTTTTCTGGAACAGGAATGATTATATCCTCACAGATATTTTTTCTCGGAAAATCTTAGAATAGTGAACACAGACTCTCTTGCCGGTTGGAGATGGAAACCTAAGCCAGAGCCTCTGGGGTGGGCGCAGGCCCAGCAAGCTTGGTGTCGGGCGTGGCATAGCCAGGGAGGACAGTGTTGGCACAGAGTGAACATGAACTTTCATACGAAGTCTAGATAACGTAAATGAATTTAAAAATAAACAAACCAGACAGACAGGTTTACACTTGGCAAAAAGACGTGAAAAACAAATGGACAGACAGAAGCGAGGTACAGAGTGGGAGGGCAGGAGGTGGAGAGAACCCTGGGCCCCCGCAGCTCCAGGCCAGCCCTGACTAGGTCACCGCTGAATCGAAAATGACCCGAGAGCCCTTTGAAAGGCTGGCTCCCCTGCCACAGCCTGCGCGGGGCCCGAGTGTGTGAGGACCCGTGTCTTTCACAGGCTGATGGAGAGTGGCAACCACAGGAGGCTGTGTCGCCCCAACGCCTCTGGCCACTTCGCTGAGCGAGTAAAGCACTGGACCCGTGATGTGATGTGGCTGTTCTAAAGCTGGAATAAGTTCATTTCGGGGGACGTTAGAGAGATTACAGACAACACAGCGTGAAGGACAATCTCTGCTGTCAAACCAGGAGGGGTGGCTTTGACCTCGCCGGTGTGGGCACGGCTTGGCTTTACACAAGTGGCCCGTGGAGCCATTGAATGAGCACACGAGCAGAAGGAGGTCGGAGCTCAATGTGTGACTAACGTGACTTCGTTGTAAGAAATCAGCCTGGATTGTTGAGCATCGTGAGAAGAAACACAGGGCACGTTGACAGCCCTGAGCAAATTTAGTTAGGGCTCCAGGGAGCATGGTCACTATCGACCCCTGACCTCTCCATTGGGATCCAGGTCTAAAAAGTACAACGCAACTGGGAACCCACAGCTCACTGGCTCACAGAGCCAACTGCTAGCCTATAAAACGTTGGCTCTCAAATTCCCCCCTGATCCTAGCTCAACACATTTCTTCTGAAGAGCTACGGATGCTCTTTTTAAGGGCTCAGGCTCTCTCCAAGACCACCTTAGAGAGGTGGGGTCTGCCTCAAACTTCCTGTTGATGGAAACGAGACCAGGCCACCTGCCATGGGATCTGCAAGATCGTGATGGAGAGGGGCCGGTCAGGCCAGGTGGGAGGGAGAGGAAGAATTCTCCTAATATTTCCCCTTGGAGCACCAAACTCCAGGGCTGTCCTGAGGCCTCCCTTCCTTTCAGTAACAGGTTTCCAGCTTCGTAGCACAGCCCAGGGCCTCCTGCTGGAGCTGCAGGGCAGGAGATGGGTGTCCCAGGGTGAGAGCAGGGGTGTGAGCAGGGGAGCGTCTCCCACCAAGTTCATGTTCAGCAAACTGCCACTCACCGGGTAAGCAGACCTCAGAGCACAGCTTATTGTCCAGTGCTTTCACGCTTGCGATGTCAAAGTCATTGTTATTGTCACACTCCATACCTAGAAATGCGCATGTCCTCTGGCCTGTAACGGAGTTAATGCAGTTAGACAGGGGCTGGCTGTATGTTTTCTCTGCTTTGCTGTCCTTAAAATAAAAATCTTAAGGATGGAGACAAAAAAAATAAAAATAAAAATCAAATCATATGTTTAAAAAAAAGACAATAATTAAGTGGGTAAAGAGTGGACAATAAAGGAATCAAATTGTGAGGGCATGTTCGTGTCCTCGTGCTATCCTGCTCGGTTTCCCTAACTGGCCCCTTTCCAGCCATTGTTCTGTAGCGTGCCAGGCCCCTGGGGAGGGCGGCTGGACGGACGCAGGTCCACAGGGAACGTGACCCAGAGCGGAGCTCTGCGGGAGGTGGGCAAAGCTGGGAGCCACCAGTGACGTTACCCTGTTCCTGCCTGTGTCTGTCGGTGCTGTGGGGTGTGCTTATGGCCATAAGGCTCTGCAAATGACAAACACATAGAACAATTAAAGGTCTCAGGCTCCATAATTTTGCATATTAAATCAGAATCGCCTCATTCTCAAAATTCTGATTTTTCTTATGAGACTTGTTATTTTGAGTATGTTTTAACAGACATGTCAGAGGGGAAGGGGAAAATTTTAGAATTGAGTTTTTTCAAGCTCCCTCTTTTTTTTTTTTTTCTCCCCTTGGTAAAAGGGAGAGGAAAAACATAAATCCACCGTGCGGGCTGCAGAGCGTCAGGTGGAAACCACCTGTGGCCCTGCATTCGTCAGAAGCAAATATTCTACTAGAGGGAGGTGGTGGGCACAGTCACAGAGGGAGCTCTGAGCACTAAAGACATCAACCCCGTCTCAGGCTGGCGTGCAGGAGTGTGACGGAGGCAGAGCCCTGATGTCCATCCCTTCCTTCAGGGCTACTTGGCCAGGCGAGAGGGGTCAAGTCCACATGCGCACCCCTGAACTCCCCAAGCAACGGCCAGCGCCAAAGCAGAAGCAACTAGAATGACATCTGCGTCCAGGCTGGGATCCGGGTCTACTTGGGAGGCGCCCTTTTGCGGGAGGCACCTCCGAGCAGCAGAGGGGAGTGACGCTGGCTTCTGGAACACGCGGTATTCCATCCACATGTGGGACATTCCCAGCTCCACCCCGTCTTCCTGCTCCCTTGCCCTGACCATCATTCCTGCTAGCCGAACTAGAAACAACGCTCTTCCAACTGAAGATACCACTGGGGCCCAAGCTCTGGTAACAAAATCGCTACAATAGCTACAGAATGCTTGCTTGCCTAGACTGAGCTGCTGGGGGCCACGCCTTCCATGTGCTGCTGGCTCCTAAGATCCCTGTCATTGCAACGGGAGCCATTTTCTTCACTAAACCAAAACCAAACCAGCTGTCGAATAGTCCTTTCTCCCCAGTGGAGGAAACGGTTTTGCTGCGGTTGCTAAACTTCAGGGGCTGCTAGGGCAGCTCTGGGGGGCTCAGCTGAACGGCTGCAGCAGGAAGGGAGGCGGTGGCAGTTGCACAAGAAGCTTCAGAACCTATTCAATGTCAACGCAGGACTACGCAGCCTCTGCAGCAGCCTCGTCCTCACAGCCTTGGCTGAGCCCAGAAGGAGCTGGGAAGGCCACTGCGCTCGACTCCGGCCTGCTTCGCTGGTCAATCAGGAAGACCACCTCTCCCCAATGGCACACCCCTGAGTCGTGCCCCAACTCATACCCATACCCTTTTCTGTACCTTAGAAAGAACACCCCGGAAAGAAATATAAGAGGAGCAAAAGACCAGGTCTTTTACCATCTTCTTGTGTGGGCGATCCGTCCTCTTCCTCTAGGACATCGTTTCCCTATAACAGAAAGAAGGCGCTCTGAGTGATCAGGCAGTAAAATGAGTAGAGTCGACAACGCGGAGGTTGGGGTGCCGACCGCCCACACGGTCAAGAATCCTCAAATAACCTGAGTCAGCCCTCTGCATGCATGAATTCCCAACCGTGGATCGAAGATACAGTTGACCCTTGAATAATGTGGGTGTGAACTGTGTGGGTCAAAGATTAACTGCATATCCATGGGCTGAAGACAGAGCTAATCATCCTAACAGCATTCAACTCCAGGCCCTACGCCGCTGTCATACATTTCCCATCCGAGTCTGAGATGCCTAAGAGGCCCTACAGAGGCAGATGTGGCGGGATGAGATGGGACCGACCTGTAGGCACCAGGTCTCGGGCGCATTAGGGATACACGCCAGGAAGGTCAGGAATAGCCTTGGTCATACTCTAGCTCAGACAGTTTTCTAAGGCAGAAATAAACGTCCAATGAAGAAACAAACAGTGAGATCACAAGACTGCCAGAAATCACTTAGGATCCCCAACCCAATCCAGATACTCCTCTGAGAGCATCTGGCCCAAGGAAAAGTGCTAGAGCCATCACTGTGAGCTGGGCGTTTCGTGGTCCTCCCCACCCCTCAGTCAGGGCACTTCTCACGCTGAATTATAATCCTGTCCCCGACCCCTGGCCAGGGCTCATGGATAGGTACAGGGGGTGAGGAGCAGGCAGAAAACAGGTCACTTGGGTCTATATGGCCCCCAGTGCCAGGCAGCGCCTGCAACACAGTCACTAAGTGAATAAAGGACAAACACTTTCTCAAGGCCTAGATCTGGTGGGAAAGCTTTCCCTCTGTAACCCACACCACGCCTGTTACACGGAGAGCAGAACCCTCTGCTACCGGACAGGCCACCGACTGGGGTGAGCGGCTGCTGGCCCCTCCACGCCATACCCCTGACCGGCCCAGGCGTGCCACCTTGGAGGGCTGCTCCCGGAACGACCCCATTCTAGCTGCTTCCCCAGCGAACGCCAACAGCCCCTCTGACTAGGAGGCCACACGGCTGTCGCCCGCCTGTTGCTGTTACCTCTGCATCCTGCTCTTCTGCGAGGCCGATAAAGTTGCTGTCTGGAGACGCCGCTGACATCACCTGGAAGAGTGACCAAGAATCAAGGCCCAGACACACGGGTTCTCCCACCCGGCTCGCCTGGCAGCAAACCCGAATCAGGTCCTCAGGGTGGAAGCGGTGCCAAGCGGGGTCAGGGCTGAAAGGGCCTTCAGTCAGCCCCAGTCCCTCATTTCCCAGGCTCTTCTTCCGAGCACGGTGGGGCTCTGCAGATACGTCCCTGGCAGACCCTGCAGCGAGTGACTTGGGACACGCGTGCAGAGCACAGAGTGGCAAGGACGCCCCGTGCCCCGCCCTTACCTCTCCTTCGTCTGAGGGGGCCCTGCTGGCCGCCTGCGGGGAAGGGAGAGCCTCTCCGTCCTCTTCAGTGCCGGGGGCGATGTAGGAGCCGGACATGGAGGAGACCGTGTCGGCGCTGATCTGTGAGTGCTGGCTCTGGGAGGACACCATGGACATGACCGACTGGGCCAGGCTGCTGCTGGCAGGGTCTTCGGAGGCAGGAGGGGAAGGAAGGAGATGAAGTGTGGCTGGGTTTTGGTGAGCTGCCCGAGGAGCAGAGCTCTCTCCCTGCACCTCACAGCGAGGACCCCTGTGGCCTCACCTTGCCCTCACCTAAAAGGGTTTTAGATTTAAGGCTTTCCACATTTTAGAGCTCAGAACTCAACCTCGGGACCGGGAATTTGCTTCTCCCTGTCAGAATGTTAAAGAGGGACCTTGTGCGAGCAGGACTGGCAGTGAGATAACTGCTTCTCCCCCAGCTCAGCGGCCAGAGCGCCGTCTCCTCGTAGGACAGCAAGCCCCCGCTTCCCGCTCATGTTGGGGCCTGCGTGGCCATACCCCTTAGATATGAACTTGCGGCTCCAGCTGTGTTCCCGAGGAAATATTAGGGGCGCTGTGGACTAGGCTGAGGGGAAAAACATGCAATCACTCGCTCCCTGCTCCCTCATGTACCTTCTGGGGAGGAAATCGTGGAGGAAAGAGGCGTCCCTGTGCAAGACGACTGGTCAGTAGGGCCTGATGAGGACAAGGTAAGGTTCTCGCTGTCTGGAGTGACGCCACATTCCTGGGGGAAACGGAGGACGCACTGGTCAAACACTGGAGGAAGGGGGACGGGCGGGGAGGCGGGGAAAGGAGAGGAGGAAAGGGGACCCCTGGAGGGACTGAGGTCCCCATCATCAGGCGACATGTGTAGCGAGCAGAGGCAGGCCGGTCTCTCTGTCATCACGTCTCTCCAGCCCTGGCCTGGAACGGCTGTCTCCCAGGGGAGGTGCAAACTTCAGTCAGCACATCCTGCCCGAGGCACAGCATCTGCTGGGGCCATACAAAGCCTGCAGCTCAGGTGACACAGGTCACCCAGCAGCTGTGACATGGGAACACCCCAGGTTTCCCTGGGATTATAAACAGCCTTCCTTCTGAAGGCAAAGAACACAAAAGCAGCAGAGGCCTCACTGCGTGCCGGGCATCTCCACTGGGATGTCGGGTTAGTTCTAACACAAATGCCACCTTTCCTCCCAACCCGCTCCTGACATCCTACCTATCCATCAGTCACCTGGGCGGGCGACCTCCCCCCATCCCAGGCAGATGCAAAGTCCTTTGGGGTCTCTTTTCCCCAGACGTTCTTTTAGCTTACTTCTGGCTTTCCCTCCTGCCTGGGCTCCTGAAGTAGTTCCTGGCATGCCTGTCTCCCGCCTGCTCCATCTACACACCTGTGGCAGGTGGGCCTTCGGGAAGCAAAGCTCTCACAGAACCCCTGGCCTGCTCAGAGGCCCCACTTCCTGCTCTGTGACTTTGCATGTGCTGCCACCTGGAATGTTTATCTCACATTTCTCTGGACATCTAAAGAATTTCAAGGGCGAGCTGAGTGGCTCAGTTGGTTAAGAGCGCGAGTTCTGAGCAACTGGTTCGCCGGTTCGAGTCTCACATGGCCCAGTGAGCTGCGCCTGAGCTGAGCTGCCAACAGGTGGCAGAATGCCCCAGCTGGTGAGAGCACATGCTCCTAACAAGGTTTCTGGTTCGACTCCCGCATGGGATGGTGGGATACGCCCACCCACAACTAAGATTGAACATGGCACCTTGAGCTGAGCTGCCCTGAGCTGCCCACGGGCGGCTGGATGGCAACTGGACTTGGAGCTTAGCTAGCTGTACCCTCCACAACTAAGGTTGAAGAACAACAATTTGGCTGTTCCCCTTCCCCAATTCCCCAGTGAAAAAAAAAAGAATTTCAAGATCAGCTGAAATGCTACCCCTCCCTCACACCTGTTCTGGCTTCTTCCATGCAATATAATCTTTCACGCCTCCACCACAGCACTGTGTTGTCCCTGTTTTGGGCGCACTTGTTTTCTCATCAAATTCATTCATTCATTCATTCATTCATTCATTCATTCAACAAACACTTAACTGAGCGACAACTGAGTGCCAGGTACAGCACATGTCCTAGCCCCAGCCAGACCACGAGCTCGTAAGGACAGGAACCACTCTGTCGTCTTTGTATGTCCCATGGTACCCGGCTCACTGCCATGCTGAGAGTGGCGTAGTGAACCTCTTGAATAAAGTCTGTGAGAGGACTGTGGGAGGAAGCCCCGCGGTGTTCAAGCCACCTCACTGGCCTCCCAGCACGCCCCACTAGGGGCTTTTCCACCTGCTGTTTCTATGCCTAGAAGCCTCTTCCCTCAGGCACCTGCACAGCTCACTCCCACACCTCCTTTGCTCTCTGTGCATGGGCCGCTTTTTAAGATAGCAAGCCCACCTCTGGCCTCCACACTCCGTTCTCCCCCACCTGTCACACTCACCCGCAGTGCCGTCTGACACATACACATTTTCACCTACTGTCTTTTGTGTCCACCGCTACCCCACTCTCAAGAATATCAGTGCCCTGAGGGCAGGGACCTCTGCAGTGTCCTCATGGTCACTGTCCTCAAAATATGGAACAGTGCCCGGCAAACAGCACAGGCTCCATACACTGCTGAACAAATGAATCCAGCGAAAGCTTGCGGCTGTCTCAGAGTGTCCCAAAGCTGTTTGATGAATGAACGACAGCAGATGGACCCGAAGAGGCAGGCAGGTAGGAGGCAAGCACCTGGAGTCCCACATCCGAGAAAGGGAGGACAGTGCAGGATACCTGTCCAAGCTGCTGAGCTGATGGCCTCCGAGAGAGGGGCGTCTCCGATTCGCTGCAAGAGCGCTCATCGCCTTCTTCGTGCAGCACAGACGAGTTCTGGGACAGGGACCTGTAACGACCGAGGAGAGCAGCTAAGTGACACCCATTTAGAGAACGGAGGTGACTCACCAGACTTCTCAGGAAGAAGAGGACTGCGAGGGGAAGTGAAGGGAACCCCAAATCTTAAGGAGTAGGAAAGCGGGAAAGGGCACCAGGGAGGGACTGAGACCTCTTCTGGGTTTTCTCTTTAAAGAGAAAACCTGAGTTTTCTCTTTAGCTCCTTCAATAACTTGTGTCTGAACTTGGGAAAAAACCACTGACCTTTTTAGGGTCTCGATATTCTCATCTATAAAATACCCTCCTTTAACGCCAGAGGGCCCCGGTTTGGATCCCACATATGAGGGCCAGTGACACTGCCCTCTACAGCTAAGATGCTGAACAACAGCTCAACCTGGAGCTGGGCTGCCATGAGTCGCCAGCGACAGCGTAGGCTGCAGCCCCTGCTGCAGTGGGTTGCCATGAGCTACTGTGTGTAGCCGGCAGCCAGTGTGAGCGGCTGTCCAGGAGCCGGCGACTGATCTGCCTCGCCTGGGAACAGCGCAATGATGGTGCCAACTTGGGCCAGTGAAGCAACGTCCTCCACAACTAGACTGAAGAACAAAAGGACAGCAACTTGTCTGTTCCCCTTCCCCCAATTCCCCAGCGCTGTTCCCATCCCTCAATTCGCCAATAAAAAAAAAAATCTTAAAAAAAAAATACCCTCCTTTACTTCGCCACAGAAAGCTAATCATGACTGGAGCCTAGTTGGATTGAAATGCCTAAGAGATACACATCATGAGGTTCCTTCAGTCTTCAGACGAAGTGAGGCTCCCCAGGGGCTGTCATCTGCCCTATACCCCCTCTCCTCCCCCACAGACCGCATAACAGATTTGTCTGTCTGGAGCCTCCTGGGTACCCATGTGCGATCCAATTTCCCTCTCCTAAGGAATAGGATAACCTTCCCCCCAAGTGTTAGCCCAGGTCTTCAGTGAAACAAGGAGCTCCTAGGATGGCCCAGAGGGTCCACGTTGCCCAGGGCACCCAGGATGGGAGCCAGCCCCGAGGGGGTGAGGAGTGACTGCAAGCACCCCCCACCCCCACCCCCACCCCCTGCCAACACGGCCGAGTGCTGGCTACTCACTTGGACAGGCTTCTTTTGAGCTTGAGTCCTTGGCTGCTGCTGCAGTCAGACAGGCGGTCCAGCGGGGAGAGTGTCCTGACGGGGGGCAGATGGCCGTCGCTGCCATACGCAGGCAGCATTCCTGAGAGGTGGCCATCTCCAAGCACGCGGAGTGGAGGGACAGCTGGGGATGGGGTGAGAGGCCCATTGAGGGCCTCCAGGAGCGACACGACTTCATAGCCTGGCGGAATGTTCTCGGAGGACTAGGGGAATCAGAAACAGGTTGAAAAAGTGATGAAAAGCTCTTCCTTTTATGGCATGACTGTGTTTCTTACTTGGCGCTGGAAAAATGTTTCCTTTTACCTGGTCTGGGGTGGGGGTTGTGGGGGAGTCTGTCAAAAACAGCTTCTGTATTAGAGGCCAAAGGAAGATAAAACGTCAAAGGGCTACATATTCCTAGAGTCTGCTTGTAGGTGAACTCCCTAATGTTTATTTTTCTGATTACAATAGAAAATTATAACAGGAAATTTGGGAAATACATAAAAGTAGAAAGAAGGGGGGAAAGTTAGTAATCAAATCATGCAAAGTAATAACTTCTATTAGCATTCTGGCGTATTTTCTCCCAATATTTTTCTCTGTACTGTTTACTCAGTTATAATCTACCTGCGACTAACAATTCTATATCCTGCTCATTTCACTGAACATCAATATTTTCCTTCCCATTTTCATGGATATTGTACGTTTTCTAACTGTCCCACTGATGCAGTTGTGTCTGGCATTTCCGACTGTGAACAACATTTTGAGGAACATCCTTCTGCATAAATCTCTTCAGATTATTTTCTTGGTATTAAGTTCTTAGGCTTTAGACTATCAGGTACAAATGTTTTTAAGGCTCTCAATAAACACAGCTCTTCTGTTTCTTCAATGATCTTTCTGGTTACACTCGTGAAAGCAGTACTGAAAACCGATTTAATTCTGCCAGCAGGGGTTACCTTTTAAAAAGTTTTTAAATTTGAAAGGTGAAAAATGGAATCTCATTTTACTGTGCATGTTGTTGATTTTTAATTGACTGACTTACAAAATGATGACTGTTCACCAGCCATGTGCGCTCTTCTGAAGATTTTTTTGTATCCCTTGCACATCTGTCTACTGCTTTATTCACAAGCTATTAAAAAATATTAGCCTTTCCTCTGATGTAAGTGCTGTGAAGACTTTTTTTCCCTTTAAATATTTGGTTTTTTTGCCTTTTGCTTTTGGTCCTCTTTTACACTTCTGAAGTTTAAATTTTTACATGGCAACACCTGCACATTCTTTTTTCGTGGTGTTCCGTTGCTTTAAGCTTAGAGAGCCTTCTCCCATCCAGAGTCCACTGAAGAGTCAGCTACAATTTATTTTAGGTTTTTAATGTTATGTTTGGTTTGCTTTATTTTAAATATAGTTAACTAGTTACTCCCTTTGGAATTTGTTATTGGTAAGGAGTAAAGTGCTAAACTGACTTGTCCTCCTCAAATAGCTAACTCATCTTACTGAATAGTAAATCTCTTCCACTCGTATGTCAGTCTAAAGAAAGTCAGTATCTGCTAGTCTAAAACCACAAGGCGTGGAGGCTCTCACACTCTTACTGCCACTCTGAAACCGAGGCAAGTTACTTCATCTACTCGGCTCCTATGAAGCCATGAAATTGGATAAAGAAAACGTTACTTTCTTTGAGGATTCAGATAAAGACAGTAAATTGTATTCAAATCCAAAACAATCACCCTCTTGTTTCTGTTTGGGGGCAGTCCGAGTGGGACTCCCCTGGGGTGAAACTGCAAGCAAAGGGCTCTAGGCGTGGTGAACGTCAACCGGACGTGGGGTTCCCAAGAAGGAAAAGGGGTTTTAATGGTCAGCATCCAGTCTCCCGTTGTAATATTGATGGGTTTTAATGCAATGTGGCCTCAGCCAGCTTCCTAGCTACTTCCATGGCCAAGGTTTAATGACTTGCTGCAAAGTCACGTAAAGAAGGAGAGGTGAGCCAAGCCAGCCAGGGAAACTGTCGTGTTTGTGTCACAGGGTCATGGTTCTCAGCCCAACTTACTGAATGCTCCTCCGAGTCAGACGTCTGGGATGAGATGATGGGGTTAAAGCTGGTTGGGGACAAGGGGCCCAATTTTTTCCTCATGGCTCGGATCTGAAGCAGTGCCCGGAAGGCTGCGAAGAAGAAAACAGGCGATGGGACATCCTGGTGCAGGAGTCAGACAGAAGCCGCGGCCATTCCTCCCAGTGTCCACCAGTGTTTGGACCCAGCAGGGCCCACCCGCCACTCGCCCTGAGGCTGGGGTCTTACGCAGTCGGCAGATGGGGCAGTTGTTGGCCTGATAGCGCAGGGTGTCTGCACAGGTATTACACAGGCAGAGGTGGCGACAGGGCAGAATCAAGGTGTCCCGGACGTCCGAGAGACACACCACACACTCGGCACTGTTATCGCTGACTTCGTCCTCAGCTACCTGGCCGGGGAGACAGAAGTTTAGCCAACGACACCAAGACACACAGTATGTCCCAGGCTTTCTTTACGAGGCAATTTGCCTGAAGTGCTGAGACAAGGAACAAGAACAAAATCTCGCATGTACATTGGACTTTATAGTTTACCAAGAGCATTCGCATACTCAGTTTCACTTATTCTGGGAACTGAGTGTTGTCTCAAGTTCATCCTAGGAGGCTCAGATCTGCCCTCTGCCCCACCCCAGACAGTCTGAGCTGAGGGGCCTAGGAAACCACACAGGGAAGGGAGAGGGCATGAAAAGCCCTGCCAGGAAGCGGAAGGGACGGAGCTCTGCGGAAGGACCAATCCAAAGCGGACCATTTTTTTCTTCCTTGCCAAAGTTACTTAAGTCTAATCATCTAAAGTAAGAACTAGGAAAATACCCTTCTTGGAGCAAACTGAGAGAGTTTGGTTCCAGGGTTTGGCGCGTGGCATTGCTAGCTCCGGGCTTCATCAGAGAATTTCTTACTCTGCCACCCGGGAAGAGGACACTCGGAATTTGGGCTAGAACTTGCCTTGGAATCTTGTGTGTTGTACTTGTTTTCAATTCCATAGATCTCCTGAAGGAGGTAGCTGACCCCATCTACCTGAAGAGCAAATAGACAAGTTCAAGGGCAGGCTGATTCTACCGAAAGATGAGAGTGGGAACTCTCTCCCCCGCTTGGTAACCAAGGGCTACTTGCTCACAATGAAAACAATCAAAGGCCTAGACAAGGAAAGGATGCTTTTATTTACTTATGTTTTCTCTTTGAGAGGGGAAAGAAAATCAAATGTTTAATTCGCCCACCATTATACCCAACAGGGAACATAAAAGTTCATCGATACAATACCTGTCCTGCCCTTCACTATTACAGACACGTAAGAAAGGTGTAGATTAGAAAAAGATGGAGGACTATGCATCAAAATATGAGCATTAGCTATGAAATAAAAGTTATGTTTAGATATTATAAAAATAAAGGGACGGAAAAGAGAAAGAAAGAATAAGGAGAAGGAATGGGCAAGGAAAAGGGGAAGGGGAAAATGTAGAAGCGAGATCTTGAAGGAGAGGCCACCTGAGCCCCCTCACCTGCCACAGAGCACCCTTCTCCAACACACAGCCAAATCACCCCGGCTGGCTTTGCTTCTTTTCTTTTTTTAAAAAAATATTTTATTGGGGAATTGGGGAAGGGAACAGTGTTGGGGAATTGGGGAAAGGGGAACACTGTGTTTTTCCAGGATCCATCAGCTCTAAATCAAATTGTTGTCCTTCAGTCTTAGTTGTGGAGGGCGCAAGCTCAGCTCCTAGTCCAGTCGCCGCTTTCAATCTAGTTGTGGGGAGGGGGCGTAGCCCACCATCCCAGGCAGGAGTTGAACCAGCAACCTTCTTGTTAGGAGCACGTGCTCTCACCAGCTGAGCCATCCGGCTGCCCATTGGCAGCTCAGCGGCAGCTCAGTTTGGGCACAGCTCACTGGCCCATGTGGGACTCAAACCAGCGACCCTGCTGTTCAGAGCTTGCGCTCTTAACAACTGCGCCACCTGGCCGGCCCTAGCCCTGTTTCTTAAAACCCCAACTTCAATGTCCAACTCCACTGCCACTGGCCTGGGCCAGTCAGTGCCAAGGCTGGCCTTCCCGCTGTTTCTTTAGGCCCCTACTCCTCTTCTAGGGCCTGGCCTCTGTCCCACTGATCCCCTCCTCTGTCACTGGTTCATACCCCACTCTCCTGTTTGACAAAGTCTGTTGCTAATGCCAGTCTAGCAACAGGAAGACAGATACACCATTTTCCTTGAGCTACACCGGCCATCCTCCCCTTCCAGGCCTCCTGGAGAACTAGGCCTCCCGTGAGGCAGCTCCCCGAGGCCTGGCCTCTCCAGGCACGATCTTGGGCCCAGGGTCTGTGTCCTCATCTGCATCTCTTAAAACCTGTTTTAACTTAGTGATTATATTAGAAAGGACGCTATCAACAAATTTATACTGAGGTATCATTGACTACTATGGACCTCTCTCAGAGGGGAGAGCACTTAACCTGAAAGAATGAATGTAGGATTTCAGATATCTACGACCCTTCTGTGGGCAGGCGCGGGGTGGGGGAGCTGCCAAGCCACTGGCACCATTCTCCCCTCCTCACCCTCCATGACTCCTCTCCTCTTCACACAGAGGCGGGTTAGGACTTCTAGCAGACATATGCATAACTTGCCGATCATTCTGGAAGCGGGCAGGTGGCCAGCAAACTTTGAATTTTAGAAAAGCAATGGTAGGGTAAGTTAAGCCGAGGGCTCTAATTGGCCTGAATTGGACACCAACACTTCATCCTGTAGCCTGAAATGTTTCAGGCCTGGCACTTTAGATAAAAAGAGTTCCCCCTAAACCTAATGTCAGGAGACAAATCTTGTCCTTTCCTTTCTCCAGTCCTTTGCTCAGAGAATGGCTGCCTCAACACCAGCAATTCCGGAACAATGATGACACTAAAAATCAGTATTCCTTTCAGGCCACCCAAGTAGTTCCTAACACACAAACGTTCGCCCTTTCTTTTCTTCTTTGATTATAAAAAGACAGTGGGAGGGGAAGAAGAGTGCTTAGTAAAGAATGAGAGAGACAAAAGAGAGGGGAGAGAGAGAGAGAGAGAGAGAGAGAGAGAGAGAGAGAGAGAGAGAGAGAGAGAGAGAGAGAGAGAGAGAATGAACAAACGAGGACACCAACAGTCTCTCTGGCCCTCAGATACTCACTACTTGTTTCTGTTTGAGAGGCTTGACACAGAAAGTCCCATCTGTGTGCTGGAATGAAAATGTGACAATTATGATAAGGAAGGAGGGCAGTAAAGCACTGCTGTTCTTTTGTTACTTCTTCCAATGATGCGTACTCTCGGACGCCCGTAGTGGGGGATCACAGACTCATAATGCTGGCAGGCCTTACAAGCATCTGGTCTGACCTCTCCCTTTGAAGAGGAGGAAACTAGGCCTCAGGGATTGAAGGCCATGCAGCAAGTTGGTGGCAGAGCTGGAGCCAGACCCCAGGGTTGCCCCCAGTATGGCGTTCCCCCAATTCCCTCCCAGCCCCCCAAGCCAGCCCCATTCTGCTGAGCTCAGGCAGCCAGCAAACAAGGGTTACGCGTGTCCTCACATGAAAGACAGTTAAACATACTAAAGTGAGGCCTTAGAAGGCTACTCACTTACCTTTTCAAAAGTGCCCAGCAGTACGTGGCAGTGGCCAAAATACTCTGAAAGAAAGGCACATGGATGGAAAATAAAACAGACGATACACCTTGATGCCCACTGACCTTCCCTGATTCCTTGCAATTGGGGAGACATCTGGGCTGTCATGGGAGGGGCACACAACAGAACCCAGCGGTGTTCTCGTCAGCCCGAGGACCTCGGGAACACGAGTGCAGGGGGATTTAGAGACTGCTGACACCCACAAAGCTGTGTTGCGGGGCCACAGCTGCCACCAGGCCTGGTGCCACCAAAGGGCAGTGTGTATGGCAAAAGAAGACAGAGGGTACCATACCATCTCCTTCGTCCACCACAGCATGGACCACCAAAGGGTAAACCTCTCGGTCCAGATCGAAGCCAAGCTGAAGGGAAAGAAAACAGAGAGAACAAAAAAGGGACTTAACATGTTTAAATGGCACAGTAATCCATCAGAAAGGGAGGTGTTGTCCAGGACCTCAGCTCTGTTCCTCCTTTGTCAACCTCGTAACCACCCAAGTCTGTTTGAGTGAAAACCACCAGTTTCTTTTTAAAATCTCAAGAGATGTACAGCCCTGTAACCTGCAGGTTATCTTTGAACATGGACTTCTCATGATAGCCTAGGCTGACAGGCTACTTTGGAACAGAAAATTATGAGGTCAGATGTATCCTTTTAAGGGTATGAAGACGTTACACAGCTGAAGGTGATCATGACATTCGCATGCCTGGGCAGTCCCTTTGCCGCTGGCCATGGTCCTAACCAGCTCCCAGGCCTACCGGGGTCTGTGTGCAGACCCTGCCCTTTTTCTCCCAGCAGTCCGTCACCTCCACCAAAGGCAGCTCACCTCCTCTTCAGCCCACTCTGAGGGGTCCACAGTGTGGGAGGGCAGGCAGAACTGCTGGCACACCCCTCGCTTGTAGTGCACCGTCTCCGACTGTAGGCTGTTATCTTTGGGGATGTAGCTGTTGATCAAAGTAGGAGGCAAAGGCAGAGTTAGCACCTAGGCCAGATGGATCTGACCATTTCCTCCGTCTCATGACTGTTCTCAATTATCAACAGGCTCTGGGAAATAGAATAGACAGGACCAGACCTCCTGTATTATCTATTTCCTTTGCTTTTGCTTGGTAATGCTATTAAACTTATCTTTGCAACCCACACATTCACAAAAAGGTAGCTTCATAGCTTCGTAACAGCATTATTATGATCTAAAGGGCTATGCTGCCATCTGCCACTGCACCAAGATGGTACAATTTAAAGCAAAAAGGTGAAAAAGTGGGGTGCTGTAGAAGAAGGTCCAAATTCAGGAATTAGATCTGGCCTGTTTGCAGAAAAAGAATGTTTTCCTGTACAGGTGCGTGCATAGAGCACAGACCCTAACCCATCCGGGAAGGAAGGCCTCCCTGGTCTCTTGTTCTTACCTGGCAATTCCATTCTGGAACTCCTCGGTGGCCTGATAGTAGATGGTGATGGCCACCCGGGCGTCAGTGTCAAAGGTGAACTCCACATTGTAATGGACTTTAGCTTTGCTGGCCTCTTCCCCAGGGGTCTTCACTTCCTCACTGCATCTAGAAAACCACAAAGACTCAGCATTGGGGGGTGGGGGGTGGGGGAAACGGGTAGCAAATCAGCATATTTTATCTTTTTTTTTTTTTTACTGAACATATTGTGGACTTGTCTCCATGACCCTAAACTCCGGCCTCCATCTTCCTTCTGAATGATGGCAGGGGAATTCATTTCTGCTACCGTTGGGCATTTAGTGGTTTCTGATATTTCACAGCTCTACAATTAATATCCTTGTGCATTTACCAGACTTTTTTTTCTTTTAGCTTTTGTTGTAATCAAAGTTACAAATTACATAGTTTAAATAGTTTCCACAAGGCTTATTACCAAAAGCAGCAGGCCCCACTCCTTCCCCTTTCCTCCACTTCAGAGGAAATCACTTCGACCTGATCACGCACCTGTGTGTTTCTCAATAACATGCTCGGGTTACTACTTCTTGATTTTTCAGCTTTAGGCATCATCCATGACTTCCTACTATGGAAATGAGGATTTTTCTCTTTCCCCATTCTGCCCCATAGAGGTATTTCCCTCCCCGCAGGGTAGTTATAACATAGCTTTGTTAGTTCAATACACTTGTGTCCATAGCACTGTGATAATATCAACATTATTCACAGCTTAGCCACAGATGAATCTCTGATTATTGTTCTTTTCCTGCAGAAGTTTTTCTTAAGACTTTGTGCTCATTTTTTCCCCCAGTTGCTTAGCTTTCTATGTACCTTATCACTAAATCAAACCCAAACTCTCTGCTAGCCGTCTCACTCTCTGGATGTTTGCGTGTTTTGTCTTCTTGAGGCGCTCCCTTCCGGAGCCCCCTGACCTGCTCCATCGGGACCCTGGGTCCCCTCATGGGCACACAGCGCCAGCCGGAATCTCCCTCCCCCGTCACCCTGGTGAGTCCCTTTTGCTTCTCTCCTGGGGAGTCCTGTGTTTCCTGCCTCCCCTGGCTTCCTCCTTCTTGGGTTACACTTCCATTTTGGCAGAGCATAACTTCCCGTAGCTTCCTGAGAAGAGGTGGTTTTTTTTTGGGGGGGGGGTAAACTTTTCAAGAGATTTTATTGTAGTCACACATCCTTGAAAACCTGGCTGAGTAAAGAACCTATAAAGTAGGTTATAACTACTTTAAGAAAGCCATTTCAGAGTGTGCTGTGTTGTCTTCCAGCTTCCAGGGTGCGCTCTTGGAGCAAGAAGCCCTTCGCTCCAGTGGCTGATTCCTTTTTCCTTTGACACGGAATCTCCACGGTGCCGGGCACGTGGCGGTCCTTTCCATGTAGAACGCGAATTTCACGTCACTGAAGGTTTCCTGCCTCCTGTGCTCTGTTCTCTCTTTCTAGCATCTTTAGTTGGACCTTCTGAGCTGCTGTTCTGGACTTCGTATCTTTCCTCTTCCATTTTCCATAACTCTGCCTTTTTGTTCCACTTTCTAGAATATTTCAACTTTTCTTCGTACATTCTATTGATTTCTTTTTCATTTCTACTACCATGTTTTTTAATTCCTAAGAACTTTTCCGTTCCCTACGCACTTTGTATCATTGTGTCCATGGAACAAGAAGATAACACCTCCTTTCTCTACGTCTCTGAGGCTAGAGATGCAGTTTTCCTCTCTCTGCAGAGTTTTGGTTTCCACTTAGTGTTTTGTTTTGTTTTTCCTGTTGGTTTGTTTTCCACTGTCTTTCCACTGACGTTCCTTATACATCTAAGCATCTTTGGTTGCCTGCTCATAGTTAAGAAATTTAAAGCCCATGATTGGAACTCCGGGTGCATAGTGGGGCTTGGGGATGCTAGGCGTCCCCTGGGGTCTGTGCAGGAACCTCCAATGCCCGTCTCTTTGGTCCTCCCATCTGAGTGGGTCCAATTCCCCAGGGAACGGTTTTCCTGTCTTCTGACAAAGACCTGGCTACTGACATTCAGGGGGTGGGGGTGGAGGGCAGGCTGCAGGGCTCAGCAGCCAGTGCGCCTACATTCACTTAACCCCCATTTTTGGTACGAGCCCAGCCTTGGCTGTGCCTGGGTCCCCCAAGTCCAGGGATTCTGTTGAGAACCATCTGCTAGCCTTTTGCCAGGGTGTGGGCAGGGCTATCCTGGCTGTGTGGTGTAAGGCAGGGGATCTGACTTCTCAAGCAGACTTTCCGCCATCCTCCTTTTCGCCTTCCACCCTGACACCCAGAGGTACCTGGCACCCCCAGTTCCTGAGCCTTTGGGGCACCACGGCGCAAGCCGGGTGGCTCGCAGCTTTTCCTCCTGCTCGCTTAGGCTCCTGGTTTCTGGATCTGCTGAGTCACTGAACATCCCCATCTGTTTCCAGCTTCTATAATTTGTTGCGGCTGCTCCTTTCCCATTCTCCCAGTTGTCATGATTTGTGCTTTTAAAAAAATCATTGTTTAAACTATCGTTATTTAGTAGGGTTTTGAGAGGAAGCAAAAGTAGACGCTCAATCCTCCATCGTTACCTGGAAACCCGAGAGTCAGAATTCATTCCCACACTCTCAGAAAAACAAAACAAAAACACCTTTCGCCTGTACATTTATTGGACACCAGGTTTTCCCTTCCATTATCTTGTTTACTTTTGACAACGGCCATGAAAGGTAACGTGTATTACCACTTTTTACCCATGAAAAGCCTGCGGCTCAGAGTCTTATTCGGGCAAGCCGCCGTGGAGCTGGGGCTTGGCCTCCCATGCCGGCTGTCAGCACATCCCAGCTGTTCTAGTGCTGTGGCCAGGCTGCCACGTCGGGGTGGGGGACAACCTCCCAACAGCTCAGGGACATGCTCCTGTCTTCATCAAACACATGAGCAGGCCATATGTGATGGCAGATATGAAGTGGACATGGTCGCTGACCGCTGGGGGTTTCCCGAGGCCTCAGTAGCCTCAGTCTATGCTGTCTCCCTCAGAGGGTGACCATTCGCCCAGCTGCAGACAGTTCTGTAGCAAGAGGACTTGCCTGGCTCTCTGGTCCCCAGAGTTGACCCCAGGGCCAGGAGAGTAGCTGGGGAAGCAGTAAAAAATTCAGGGACAAATGAAATACAAAAATTAAGAGAGAGAGAAATGGATTAGTGGTTGCTTAAGCCTGAAAGAGGGGTTTAGGAAGTAACTGCTAATGTGTATGGGGTGTCTTTTGGGGGTGATGAAACGTTCTAAACTTAGATGGCAGTGTGATGATTGCACAAGTCTGTGAATCTACCCAAAACCACTGAATTATATGCTTTAAATGGGTGAATTGTATGATCTGTCAATTATATCTCAAGAAAGCTATGATATTAAAACAAAATTATCAGAGAGAAATAAACTTCCTAATGCTAATAACGCTGACCTAATAAAGCATAAAATGGTCTGAGTCATCTTCCTTGTTCATTCAGAAAAAATTGGGACCTCTGACTTGCCCAAACCAAATCTGTCTCCCAGGGAAGCAGTGAGCCTAAGTAGACAGACTCTATCTGGAGGGCAGTATCAGTCTAAAAATTACACTGTCGCGGGGACAGCACAAAGAAGGCATATCAATGATAATTAATACTGATGATGATGATTAAACAACCAGCCCAGAGCACTTTGAGTTCCTCAGAGGAAGGGCATATGAGATTAAGAATTAAAAAGTAAATAGAAGCAATAAATAAGGATTTCATACCCCAAGTTCCAATATCCCATTGTTACACAGGCTTGTTGAGATTATCTGCAAAATTCACTTTTCCCCTCAATCATTCCTCTTTTTGAAACAAATTCATAAAGTAGGGATAATGACTGCTTCCCAGAAAGTGAAAGTTCTTCACCAACATAGACGCGAAGTCTGAACTAGAGGCCTTGAGCTCTAACTCACGAGCTGCTGCTCTCGGGGCTGGAGCAGTCCCCCGCCCGAGGCCCGAGGACCAGGCTCTGGGGCCAGCACAACCGGCCCTGAGCCTCTTGGGGGAGCTGGCTGCCCCTGCAGGGAGGAAGGCACGTGGCGGAGCCCCCAGGGACTTACTTGACGAGTCTTAGTGTGTCCTTTCGGATGTTGATCAGGCTTCTCAGGGTCTTCACTGGTTCTTGGGGAGGTGGGGCAGCATAAGGAAACTGTCAGAAAGAAAGTGGGGTAAGGCAGTGTGTTTATCAAGGCCAACAACTGTCCCTCACTGGTACAAAGAACAGCCTTGTGAGTGACAAAGAACAGCCTTGTGAGGTGAGGCAGGCAGGCCCCAGGCTCCTAACTACGTGAGGACACCGAGATCTGACATGTCAAGTGAACCTGCCCAAGGTCACAGCCGGTGGTAGAGCTGGGATTCGATTTGGTGTCCAAAGAGCAAGGTTTATCTGCTTTTCCCATGATACGAAGCTTATCTGAGTCCGCATTCGAAATGTGGGTCACTAATGAAAACTCCTACTGAAGTTGCACATACCAAAGGGACACACCGTGGCCGAGCTAATCACAAAAGGCTTTTCCATCTGACCTTCGGCGACAGGGAGCCAGGCCTGCCAGGGTTTTCCTCCAGGGAAGCCACATGGTGTCTTAGAAATTTAGGAGCTGCAAATAAGAGAGGACCCCATCTCGTACACAGAACTGAGGCCTGCAGTCCGTGTGGAACACATTTTTTCCTGCAGCTGCTCATATGGAGCAGAGATCTTCAAATGTGAGCCAAGATCTCCTTAGGGATCATCAAAGATTTATGGTTGTCCAGCATTTACCGTACACTTTCTCCCTTTCCCCATGTAGACATCTGGATTTGAGTTCTGAGTTGATGATAGTGAGGGGATATGAAAGGGAAAATACAGAGGGTGCCAAAGAAATGTATACACATTTTAAGAAAGGAAAAAACTATTAAAATTGTAACACAGTGAATGACGCTAGCATTCATTTGACGAACGCCATCTTTTGAGTGAATGTCATACTACACATTGCTACTGTAATTCAATTCAACTTCGAAAGGTAAAACATAGATGACATCTTAAAATGTGTACTTTTTTTTTTTTGGCAGCCCCGGTGGTAATCAATTAAACTGGAAATTGCTTTCAAAAGATTAAGAATGATTTAAAATGTTCCCAGTATTGTTCTGATGTTATTTGGGTAATAAAATTTTTTTGCATATAATTCACAAAAAACCTGCTAGACTTTGTAGCTTTGTAAAACTGTGGCACCTGGGAAGAGTCGGCCTCCTGGTGCTGGTTTCAGAAAACTGGATGCTCACGGTACACTCGATTGTGCCTTCACAGATCTTTGCTCAGTGTTGTTTTCTCACTTGGAAAACAATTTCACCTACAGTATGTCTCATTTTACGGATTCAGTATGATTGCTTATGACTCACGTGTGTGAATGTGACACTTAAGAAAATACATTCAAACAACTAGACTGAAGAACAAAAGGACAGCAGCTTGTCTGTTCCCCATCCCCCAATTCCCCCAATAAAAATCTTTAAAAAAAAAAAAAAGAAAATATATTCAACCTGATCAGGTGTGCATTCAGGTTACCCACGACATAGCAACATTTTATGTTTTCACTGGCACATTTAACATGTATTCGTTCAAAATATATGATAGCTGGTTTTTCTAGTTACAAAGCAAAACACGTTCAAGCAGAAAACTTGAAAAACGCAAGAAAGGACAAAAGCAGCCATCATTTCACCACTCAGTGATGCCAATGTTAACACAGCAGCGTCTTTCCAGAAAGGCACCCATCTGCCTACCCACCCACCCATCTCTGTATCTATGCACTGTTTCAAACTGTACTTACTATTTTATAGTTTCTTTTTTCATTTAGAAAGACGTGGTAAACGTTTTTAAAGTCTTGAATTTGACATGATTACACACGTTAGAGATAGAAGCATACTTCATTTATTCAATTCCATACTATTCAGTGTTTTAAGTTGGTTTTACTTTATTTTTTGTGCTGATACAAATGTGGTGGTGAGAGCCTTGTTCTTACATTTCTACATGCTTGTTTGATTACTTCCTTAGGACAAATTCCTAGAAGTGGGATTACTGGATCAAAGCGTAAGCATGTTTCTAAGACTTTTTAATGTAAATTTTGCCAAGCTGTTCTCCAGAAAGCTGATTTTGATTTTGCTCTCCTACTAGCAGCATATCAAGAGGCTTTTACCCAGGAAGGCTGAAATCCTGGTTCAAATCCCATCAGTGCTCCATTTCTCCACCCCCCACTTTCCTAGGCTGTCACACTAAAGGAATTTAAAACAATTTTAAAACAAGCTTAAGCAAAAAGTAATTAGGCAAGAAAATCCGACACAAATGCTAGTCTATTCTAAAGCCAAAATAAATGACTTTGGGATTAAAATTTTTTTCTGGAGTAGCAAAGTTAATCATATTCATTTGCGTAGGTACTTGGGAGTCAGCCATAACTCCTACTTGAGTTAAAAAAAAAAAAAAAGATGAGTTCTTCCGTCACTCTTTCCCCTTTCTCCTCCATACCCTCCAAAAAAGAAAAGCAAAAGGAGAAAAGGGGGAAAAACAAACAAACAGAAAACCTTGTGTTCTTCATCTTTCATTTTGAATATTACCCGAGCCTGAATTCTCTTTCAAAGGTACTGACCCGAAAGGTTCGGTCCGTAAGGCCCTGAGCGGACCAAATTTCATTCTTTGTCCATTCGCCTTGGCCTACAGCCTGTCTTCATTATGAAAAGTGAAATGGGGTTCTAGAAGCTGCCTTTAGCTATCTTTCTTAAGGCTGTTAAGAGTTTATTGACTCCAGAACGATGTCTGAGAAACGGGAAGGCATTCCATAGCCCCATATGGAGCTTGAGGCAAGAGGCCAGGGCGTGCCTGGCAGGCTTGGTTCCTCTGTCAGCGGGCCTGGTGCTGGGCTGTGCACAGACGGCAGAGGCTGCTTCTTCCCGTTTCCTGGCAAGCTGCCGGGGCGGCAGGGAGAGAAAAGACTCTAGCTGGTCTCCCTGTCTCCACTGACTCCCTAACTTAGTAAGACGTCTACTGAGTACCTGCTATGTGCCAGGCATCACGCTGTGCTCTTCAGATATATGTTTCCCTTTTCCTTTATTTAATTGGGGTAACATACACATGACATGAAGTGTATCACCATAACCATTTTAAGCACACTGTTCGGTGGCATTAAGTACATTCACGTGTCAGGCTACCATCACCACCATCCATCTCCGGTGTAGATACACTCTTATTTCATGTTCTCAACACCAACAGACGTGTCTACCACGCCCACCAAGTTGTGAGCTCCTGGAGGGCAGCCTGACACGCAGGAGGAAATCGAAAATGTGTTGGTTAGAGGTGGTCTCAGAGATGTGGGGGTGCAGCTGATGGCTGTTGGTTGGGGGGGTGGGGATGAGGGAGAGAGGGAGGGGGTTGGACAGCATAAATACACAGCTGCAATGTTGCCATGGGGACATGGGGGACAGTTCCAGGAATGTAATTGATAATGTTGTGAATATTTTGTAGGGTGTCAGGTGGTCACATGTCTTGCATCATGGATGGGGAAGAGGCTTGATCACTGCACTG